TGTTTGGTCGGTTTTATGGATTTTGTAAGCTTGTTTTTTATGCGTTTAAGATAAAATGGTATGGGTAGTGTAGAAGTTTGAATGTCTTCTCAGTATAATCCTCTTCTTCAATAATGTATGCAGGGCTACATGTCCAAATGAAATCTAAGATAATATCCTATAATTATTCATATTTTTATTCTTTGGATGTGGTAGGAATAGAAATTGATAAGGTCATTTTCGTTAGTGGATGTACGGTAAACTTTAAATTCTAATTTGTTCTCGTTACGTATTAATGGGATATCGAGAAAAGGAAGCGAGGTATTTGTTTCGAATTCGTGTGTAAATTCAATGTTTGGTTCTACATTATTAGTTTAGCTATTATGTTTAAAATGTTTGTATCTTGGAGATAAAATAAAAGCACGCCATATTGGGGATAAAATAAGAGCACGCCATCTTGGAAATAAAATAAGAGCAAACCATATCTCAGGTAAGTAGAGCTGTTAGGTAGGAAATGTTTAAATTTGGTGAATTCTATGAATTAAAGGAAGAGGCAAGCGGGAACACCACTGATAGAAGACTCCATAAGTAAACCGATTTTTTTTTTTTTTTGTAGAATATATTATTGAAAGAAAATAAATGTGGTTGGTAATTAATTTACGCATTTTCATAATTTTTTGAACTGGTAGAGGAAGCTTATACTTGGATTTATTAAGATGATTTCTTAGTATATTGAGGCATTTGGTGATGGGTATATTAGTGTATAGTGATTTGATGTCTAGACCAACCCTATACATGTTAGTCATATTTATGTGTTGTATTCTATGGAGTAAATTGCACACACATGTAACACACACATATCAGAATGTCGTACCTCCATTACTCATCAAAATCTTTCTGAATCCTCTTCTCTGTCTTCAGATTGACACCCAGACACTCTGAAATGTTCGTATTGGCACTTCCGGCACCATTTCCAAGCAGTACTGCATACCGTTTCCAAATTCCTCAGAGACAGTACCCAACTGACCCTACTGTAGTGTGCCGCCGACAAAGTCAAAATTAAAAGACGCGCATGCGTGAATATAAAATAGTGACAATTTTCCTCTGACACACTGTAGATTATCATAGTAGGCTTTTTCTTTCTAAGGTAACCAATAAAAACACTGAACACATAGATAAAATCAATAACATTAATATTTTTTATAAAAATCAAATTCATGTCAACTATAAGTAAGATTAATATTCACTTAGAAACGTTATAAAGGAATTTGCAAATCCAGACGACAAAAATAAGAAAATTAATCTTCTTCTGCAACATACCCGTTGGTAGTACAAATATAATAGCCACATTCGCGTGAAAACAAAACAGCTAAAAACAATTGAAGCCTTGTTAAGAAAGAAAGAAAGAAAGAAAGAAAGAAAGAAAGAAAGAAAGAAAGAAAGAAAGAAAGAAAAACTCAAACACGCAGTAACATCAATGTGCCACAATGTACTGGCAGTTTTTATAAAGTAAAAGGTTCGTATTAATCTAAATACATGCATAAATACATTCAGTTAAAAGTAAAGAAAATAAAATCCTCTCTGATAATGGATAAAATAATCCCCAAATCACTCGACCATTAAGAACATTCGGACAATTTCTACATTATTTATGCCCAGAAAAAAATTTCTATTACTATTTTTCACTTTACAGCATTATGGCAATATATAAATTATGTAATGGAAGTCTACGGCATATTGTTAAGAAATAGCCTGCCAGATTTCTCTCATTGCATATATATCTTTTCTGTCTCCGTTTAATTACGGTATTATAGAGTTTGGTAAGATACAAATTACAGTTGTCTATAACGTTTGGATAAACAATAGCCTGCCAGGTACTTTCACTTTACATATAAATCTCCACTATTTTAATATGATATTACAGGATTAATGGATTTATTCGCGATATAAATAGGGTTCGTCTCTCCAATCAAGTTAAATTTATCCGAATAGACACCTAATCTTCGTATATGAAACCCGAACCTCTAGTGTTATTATTTAAGCTATTGTTTTCGGGAAAGATAGGTTCATCAACTTTCATTTTCTGCTTTTTTTTTTTTTGCTCTGCGATATATTGCAAAATCTCGTGACTTTTTTTTTTATTATTAATTTCAATCATTGTCACTTTTTTTTAACGTCGCTAGGTGGCATTTTTTGTTACTTTTTATTTTTATTTGTACACTACCATCAGATAGATTGCCAGTCACAGATAAAGAGCCTCCATCAATTAAAGTGCCTTCATTTCGTGCGAACGCAATTATTGACACATTTAGACCTGTGTCGATTCCAAGATTTCAACTCTTGGCTTTACATTATGGCCGTTACGAAAGACGCAGGGATCGTCTCTCAAGGCGTATATTATCAAGAGATTATCCCCTTAACTAATTTATGATAGCGAGATTTTAACACAGGTTCCATGACGCTAACATTAACGCTGAAACCTATTGACTATGTACCTACAGGGTATGCGTTTCTTTTCCATGCTAGGGTCGGCAAAAATAATTCCTGTTCTAAATTATGACTAAATATGAAGTAGAATTTTGAATGGTATTCTTAGATACAAACCATATTCTTCAGAGCTAAATCTTCTTTTCCTACCTTTTTTATCATTTCACCCAAGCAATGCAATAAAGCCACTAGGAGGCTGAGGGTTATTAAAAGTGTTAGAGAATTTGATATAAAAAAAAAACTACTATTAACGAAAGAGGATAATCAAACAAAAATTAAGAAGAGAGAAGATAATGATTAACATTGCGTATAAATTTTTGAAGGTCAAAGTTGACTGGGAAGCCAGAAAGTTCCACAGTGCGACCGAAAAAACTGTTAGCATAGAACTTACGGTTACATGTAGCCATTTCAACTGTAAAATGATGAAACCTTACTGCCAATCTAATACTGCGCTTAAATTCTTAAAGTCTAGGTACCATAGCGAAAAGTTCATCCGAACGATTACCAAGAACGTATTGATAGAATAGGCACGAGGATTCTACGTTATGGAGGCGGGAAAGGGAGTGAAGCCGAGATGCAAGATCAGGATCAATAACCAGACCATAGGCGGCGGTATTATTCAAGTCAAGGATGAATCGTAGATTTATAAATATCTAAGATAGATTCTAGAGAGAAAAAATATCTCCCATGACATTTTGAAGCAAGTTTCTTAGTAATTGATTCAATATACTCTTTTCATTTCATGTCAGCTGATAATACTAGTTCGAGAACACCTGAATCTCCTTTTTATTAGACAAAGTTCCCTATAAAAGCGTTTTGCATCGATCGAATAAGGTAATAATCGGCCTGATGCCAGGTAGAGTGAATATAGCGAGTAATTTAGAACTGAGCAAACGCGTCCTATATTTATTCCTGCTGCATACGGGCTTGTGTTATTGAGGAGGATTCCAACATTTCTACTATGGACAGAACCGGCGGCTGGACGCATAAAAGCCCATTTAATGTTTCACTACTTTTTGAGAAGTCTGAATAAATAATAACTCTCAACGACCCCACAACGCGCCCAACACAACTTTTCGTTCATGGGGATCAGCTTTTAGGATCTATTGTCGAGATGTGTTCTTGTCGGGCCACTGTCTTTTATGGCGAGGATTGTTGCATGTTCGTGTACTCCATATTGATCGTTAACTACCACCAGCATCTTCTGTTTTCCGGATATCTGTTATTTTGTTGTCCTTTCTCCTTACATCTCCTACTTTGAAAATACATCGGCTTTAGAAACTTCCAAGTCTTATATATATGGAATACATGACGATCATTATTGACTAAACATAATATATACTAAATTGTATCTATTATATTCGAGGCGTATGGATATGTTGATTTTCTATGCATAGCTTTTCCTCCTGGTATAAATGACCATTTTCTACCCTATTTTATATTTTATAAAATGTAGCTTTAATCTTCTATTAACTACAAGGGAGATGTTTTCATTTCTCAGTTTTGTCTCTTATGACCCATATATGTGTTGAAGAAGTAATACTTTCATATATATATATATATATATATATATATATATATATATATATTATGAAATGACGTCATTTGTTTACATTTGATACGCCATAAGCAAATATGAATGTACGCGAGAGATTCATGGAAAATTGAAGTTTAAATACACTAAATTCGACCTTGCCAAACGAACACTGCTTCGTTGCCAAATCGGTAAAGGCACGTCAAGCTAAATGACGGTTCCGTATAGGATACAGGTTCGAATATTTTCTGTGAAAATTTCTGGGAAATTCAGGCCGGTAAATGTTGTTTAATACTGTTTATTATAAACAGAGCATTTACTTAAATATTTGTATCTATAAAAATAATGTATAAATATAAAAATGTCTGAAATATATATAGGTGTATGTTGATAGAAATTAGGAGAATTTGATATTATTATAATTAATTCATCGAGTCTAGAAGAAAACTCAACAGAATGCAGAAAAGCCTGGACGGCAATTTCGTCCGATATTTGGAATTCATCAGCAATGCGCATCCACTACCGAGAATTGAAACCCGGACAGTTACGTTATCGATATATCGATGTACCAACTGTACCAACGGGCCTCGGTGACGCAGAGGTAGCGAAGAAGACTCGATATAGCGCAGCTCCATCACATATCCTGTTTCGCTGGTGGAGGCTCGTGAGAACAGCTGGTATGAACACACCAATATATATATATATATATATATATATATATATATATATATATATATATATTAAGACAATTTTATGTTTATACATTCTTTTTAACTGTCCATGTTTTAATTCTCGGTAGTGGATGCGCATTGCTGATGAGCCCCAAATATAGGACGAAACGGCCGTCCAGTGCATTCTGCTGATGTTTCTTCTAGATTCGTTGAATTACTTATATATATATATATATATATATATATATATATATATATATATATATATATATATATTACAGTATAAGGTCTCTCGTAGAAACAATATAAATTTTCTTAAAAAGCTCGCTCTGCTGGTCTTCAAATCCAACATTTGCCGTATTAAACATTTCCCACTGAGTGGGTGTAAAACTGATTCACACACTCTCGCGCGCACGCACACACCAACACATAGAGCTATTTAGTAAGCTTAGCTTAGATGTACAACAAGGGCGGAGGTATGAGGCACTCAGTGAAGAACGAATTCGCTATTCATTCGTAATTGATCTAGTGAGGCCAGCTTGTTAACCTCTATACCACGTCGAAGTGACCAATGTGTATAGATAAGTGTGTGTATTTTTTTTTCAATTGCTGGATCCATATATATAACCACACACAAATAAGCTGATGTTACAGGCCATTATTTCGTCTATTAAATAATCCTATCTTCCTAAAACGCGAATTGATCCATACAATATAATGTTAATAGTTGAAAAATCACTCTTCATTATGTCAGATATTATTTAAAGGTTGATACACAAGAGTAATCCATCATATTTATCTTTTTTTTATTATTACCCTCAAAATGTTGTTTTTTCGTCTATATATTTAACCCAAAGACATTGATGGATGATATGCAAGACAATAGGTAGACGTTATTATATTTCGGTTGAAAAGACAAATATATTCATGTCAGTGTTGCTAGGTGTGCAATAGACTACCTATTAATTTTTACTATCAGTTTTATGATTCCTTAATACCCAGTATTACAATTTCTATGTAAAATTGCGAGTCTTTTCAATCTAAATTTTTTACTGAATTAAATTTATTTGCGTGAGGTGGTTTCGCATGAATTCGAACTTGGTTCTCCGATTTCTCAAACCAAGCCGTTATTCATTACTTTTGCCTCCTAGCGCAAAATACAAGCGGAAAAATGGTTTTCGAAGCATATATGACAATCATTTCATAGCTGATTCTGTAAAGGTCTCCGAAACAATTAGTTCGTCTTAACAATCAAGCAATGGTCGTCTGCGTTGCACGGGTCACGTCGCTTCTCTTTGTCCAGCTGTCCAACCTCATTGTCTCTTTGTTCGGTATTGATTTGATGATTCATTTTTACGGCTTAGCAACCCTTTGCAGGCTATCTAAAGCAAGAAAATATTTTTAGATAATAAGAATTTTTTTGCATCATTTCACCCCAAGGAAGGCAATATAGTCGCAAAGCATTACTGAGTGTCAGAGAATATGAAAATATAAAAACTTATAAATGTGTGAGACCAAGAAAAGATCAGTAATTCAGATGTTAGAAGAGAACGACTGATATTGTATTTAAATTTTTGAAGATCATAACTGATTGGAAAAAAAAGAAGAAGGAAGCGAGTTACACAAGCGAGAAGTGCGAGGGGAGAAACGGTTAGTATAGAACTTGCAGCTACATCTTAGCATTTATATAATTTTTGGTTTTTCCATTTGGTGTTGAGAGCATCTTTTACAATATGCTTACCTTAAATATACAGCTGCTTGATGTATTATATAAATTGTGCTTGTGTTTATTAGTTATTGGTGATATTTAAAACACAAATTCCAGGATTATAAGATATTCTATTTCATGCAGGTGTTGCTTGTTGTTAGTCTTGTTTTGACAGTCAAATGAAGGTGTTTACTGCTAATACCCTTTAGAGGAAAGGGAAGGCAATGTTTAAGCTGACAGCAAATGAGAAAAAGAATGAGAAAATGACCCTTCACATGTCCCAAACAAGGAATAGAACATCATCATTCAACAGATTTGAATACACATTAATAAAAACGGTGGTGAAAATTGTTAAAGAAAAATGGTATTCTCAGCAGGGTTAAAGAGAGATATTTTAGAGTCTAGAGAAATAAAGTTTGAGAAAATCAAATGTCTATGTTTGTACAGATGTATGATTGAGTGTGTAATATGTGTAGGCGTGAAGATATGTCTTTACGGATAGAACTAACTCAAGAAGTTTTTCCCTTTGCAGTCAATGTAGTTGTGTGTTCAGGCAAGTATTTTATCTTGCTGGTGCCGATATGGTGTGAGTGCATGAATGAGAAAGGCTTTGTTTAGCAAGTGAATACATTATCTCTGGTACTGGGTTTATGTGCATGTGTTTACTTCCTGTGGCTCCTTTTGTTTGTATTTGCTGTGAGTCCCTGTGCAGCTTCCAGTCCATTCTCATATAGGCTGGGGTTTGGAGCGTTTCGAACGTCCTTCCAGCAGTCAAGTTCTACCAAGAAAGTATATTACTGCATTATTTCATTGCTTCTGCTTTCTCTACTCCCCAAAATACAAATAAATATAGATAAATAACGCGGAGAGGAAAATGTGCATTTTACAGATATACCGACTTTATTAGTAATATTAAAACTAGGTTAAGTTATATTAATTTGTCGCCATTATCTTCATGCATCTGGTTTCCGTCTTTGATAAAGCAATGGTTGCACAAATAAAAACAGTTTGCACAATCGTAACGCAATTTTGTCACGTCGCCATATAATCAAGCAGTAAATTTCGGTAACAGGGCGATGAGTGAATTGGCATTGATATGAGAAATGAAAAATAAAAGGTTT